TCAATGGAGGGAATGGACGAGGAGAGATCTCGGGAGGTTTTTGGGGAGTATCTTTATAGTGGAGCTCTCGTGGTATTTTTAAGGGGGAAGGAGAGGGGGGGTATGGTCAAGGGGAGATCGTGGAGGTTCTTTGGGGATAACTCGGCAGGGCAGTTCTCCGGGTCTTTAGAGGGAGTGGGGAGGGGGGGGGTCATTGGAGGGTATGGTCAAGGAGAGATCTTGGGGATAACTCCCCAGGGCATCTCTCAGGATCTTTCTAGGGGGAGTGGGGGTCAGTGGTGGATATGGTAAGGGGAGATATCGAGGTTTTTTGGGGGGTCACTCTCTAGGGCAGCTCTCTGGGTCATTTCAGGGGGTGGCGCGCCAATGGAGGGGATGATCGTGGGGAGATCTCGGGGGGTTTTTGAAGGGTATCTTTCCGCATGAGCTCTCACGGTCTTTCCAGGGGGGGGGGTCGATGGGGATAAGGACAAGGGGAGATCTCAGGGTTTTATTGAGGGTAACTCTCCAGGATAGCTCCAGGGCAGCTCCCAGGATCTTTCTAGGGAGGGGGGTCAATGGGGGATATGGTCAAGAGGAACTTTCAGGGCCTTTCGAGGGGGTATTGATGAAAGGTATACTCCAGGGGAGATCTCGGAAGTTTTTTGAGGTTGACTTTCCAGGGGAGCTCCGAGGGTCTTTCTGGAGTGGATTAATGAAGGGGATCGTCAAGGGAAGATCTCGGGTGATTTTGAAGATCACTTTTGGGGATTGCTCTCTGGATCTTTCTAGGATTTGCCAAGGAGTGTATGATGATGGGGACATCCCGAAGGGTTCTTTGAGGTTAATTCCAGGGGGCAATAGGGGTGTGGTCAAGAGGAGATGTCGAAAGTATGGTTGGAACGAAATTCCGGAGAAATCTGGGGAACATTTCTCAAAGTAGGTTTGAGGGGATAACTAGGGAGATTTTTCTAGGGGGATCGCCGTGATTTTCACGGAACATTTTTCAGAGGAGTTTCTAGGGTATTTTCAGAGGAAATGGCTAAGAGGAGATTCCTGGGGTTCTTAGACGATATTTGACATTTGAAACATACAATCGAAAGATTGATTAGAAAAGTAATTCGGGATTGTGACCCAAGTTCTTCATCAACCCATGGACTGCAAATATTTTTTTTTTTGTCAATATCTCAAAAAAATCCCGAGATCTCCCTTTGACCATGCCCCTCATTAACATGCCCGCCCCTCGGAAACCCTGAGAGCTTCTCTGTGTTATGTCAAAGTTAGGTAAAGAAATTATAAAAATTGAATTTAACCCTGACATAAACTGAATCCCTGATGATGAATCGAATCAAAGAGAAAAGAAAATTATTGACTACTAGAAATTCCCGGTAAACTTGAAAAATTATTAATTAAAAAGGAAGAGAAAAAAAAAACTATTCACTCACCGCCAAGAATAAATAAACAAAGGAATATTTTCAGGGAAGAGAAAAGGTTTTAAAAATGAAAAGAATTTAGTTTTTACTAAAATGATTCTTACGAATCTGTATTTTAGAAATGAGTTCAAAATTTGATGGAAATTCCATTTTTTTTTAAGAACTTACAGTAACTGCAAACACTGCTAATCCAAATTGGTTAAAATGCCGCACACACTAAATCCACTCTAACAACTTGCTTCTTCACACAAACTGATTTTACAATTAAACAAATTTAAGCAAAACTAAAAGTATAATTCGAAAAAAAAACACTTTAAAACAAAATTTTAATTTTAAATAAATAAAAGTCCAAAAGACTTATAAAAGAATCATACAAGATTCTGGACAAAAGAATCAAAGATTCTTCAAAGAAATCGCCCAATGGGTCGATATTAAAATTCCACTTTGGGAATTGTAAAGGAACTAACTAGACACCCCGAAATGCAGATAGTTTTATCAACTACACTAAGGGTGTGCCCTTGCACTCATTTGGAGGGAAGACTCAAGGGACCAATTACGTTTGGCCTTGGCCCGGAGTTTTCCCTCTCCACACACATGAGTCCCAATGTTTCAGAGGTACTCCACCCTCTTCCACATTAGCACTGGAAAATTACGTTGAGGTGTGGGCGGACTTTTCCAACCCCAACTAACCAATGAGAATCGTTTCAGGAGTCCCATATTGTCCCTCCACGATCTCGTCATTAATTGAATTAATTAAAATTATTCTAATTTAAATCTATAACATTATTTACTTAAAGTTTTCAAACGTTTGAAAAAGTTCAATTAATCTTATTGAATAATTATTATTTGACAATACAAAATTCTCTCAATTGAGAATTTTGGAAAATCAAATATTCACATTAAACGTGAATAAGATGTTTCGAAAAAGAAATA